CCACTCACCTCAGCCTCCCAAAGGCGTGAGATTACAGGCTAAGCCACCAAACCCGGCTCCTACTTTTTTTTAATAAGTCTATTCAATAAGGAGGAATATCTCAGGTTATAATTACTTTATAACCTGAGTGTTTATATAATGCTTCTGTGTTGTGTGTGTGTAAGGGTTATATTATATACTAAGATTACAAAGATATATTATTTCAGGAGCTAAGTCTAACAACTCTGTAAGAATGATCTCCAGCATTTCAGAAGTGAGGGCATCGGGGCTCAGAGAGGCGAGAGGTCTCATCAAAGGTGGCAGGGGTAGGAGTAAAAGTCCAGACATACCCCTCAAATATTTTGAGGTACCCTCAAATGCTCCTCCTGTCCAAAATCAGGTGACACCAGGTGACAGCATGTAGGAGGCCCAGAGCCTGCTGGGGATAGGGTAGGGTCAGAGTCTCTGAAACATCTGCTCCCCTATCAACAGTGGCCCACATTCACCCCTAAATTACACCTGGTGTCTCACTTAGGCAGGTGTTACTCACTTGGCATGGCTCGGTGCGAAATGAAGGAACACAAAAGAAATTTTACAGATAATTCAGAGATCAACAAAACAGATGTTTTCCTTAAACCATACCAACACACAGTCTAGCGCCAATTCCAAAACCATGGAGATAATCATCTGGGTCTCCCAGAACGGAGGCAGGAATGAGAGCATGCTCCTGGGTGACAAAGCAAGGTGACGGAGAACTGGGTCTGGGAGCCAGGAGGTGGGCCATGTCCCTGTGTCCACACTCCTGCTGTTTCCCTGGGCAAGCTGATCGGTCACTCCACTCCCACGTCTCTCCCTTGTGAAGCGAGGAAAGTAACGGGGTCAGTCTCACAGAACTGTCCAGGTTGCACTCAGGTAATTGTCGCCAACGGATGGCCACTGACTCACTGGACAACGCTGACCAGGTGAAGTCCTGCAGTCTCCATGTCCTCCCTGCCCCAGTCCCAAACTGTCAAGCCACCCATCTCCTCCCACCCCCGTACCCCTGAAGCTGCAGGAGGCTCTAAACTTGACCCACTGACCCTCCTGAAGCCATGACCCAAATCCTGTCATAGCTCAGACTAGATGAGTTTCAAAAACTGAGACTATTTTTCTGCTTATCATAACAACAAAAATATGAAATCCAAAAGGACTTTTCAAAAGTACTGGTGAAGTGTAAACTGATTTGACATTCAAAGGCCTAATTGTCGGTATATGTAAAAAGCATTTAGACTACAATCACAGGGTCAGGCTGACTGCACTGAAATGAACTTCTCAAAATGACACACTGAAAACCTATTTAGGTTAATTCACACAATCTGTACATGTAAGACTAAAATTAAAGCATCACAACTACAATACTAATGCAGTCCCATCACAGGGAACTGCTTAGCAAAAGAGTTACACTTACCTCAGAAAGTATTCAAAAAGTCCACATGTCAGGAGGCCTCTGAGGCTTGACCTACCATGGTCCTAGGTGCTGCATGAACCCACCATGACCTGACAGTATGTTCTACATCTTGACCCGACCACATATACAAAACACAGCTACCAGCAGAGCAAGGCCACAGACAGAAGACCCCATTGGCCCAATTCCTGCAAGTATTCTGTGGTTTCAGAACCTAAGTCGCGCTTATCATTTTACCATGAATCACGCTGTCACGTAACTTAACATATAAACAAGACCATGATAACCCATGGGTGAAACCATTTAACTCTCATACTGCTCATCATTTCAAGATCGCAACCACACCAAGAGAAGGGGTGACAGCTGGCACCACGTGATGGGGCATAGGGTGTCATCCCCCACCTCAGCCAGGCCCTGAAGACAGGAGGGAAGGAATGGTCTCAGGATGCATGAAGATGCCACTGTCGCTGAGGGACTCCAGGGCCCATTTTCTCAGCAGCAGAGTGAGGAGAATGGGTCACACAAACATACAGCCTCTGCCGGTTCCATATTCTCTGAATATGCATCATAGCACCTTGGCAACAATGACTGTATGTGCTAAACCTGAAATCATGCAAAACTGGAACCACTGCCGAGAAAAAATTTTAAATCAAGAATTATATAATTTTCAAGGTCAGTGCCAACAGGAAGAAACTGGAACTGGCGTTATCACCACACGGAGGTCCTAGCACCTGAGCTGGTAAAAGGTCAGAAAGAGTGTTGAATTACACCAAGTTCCTTATGTGAAGTGTACAGAAATCCAGGACTCATGTAAGGTACCTCAACGGAGTCCAATGAAGCCCCTTCCCTAACCTCTGTGGTGGGGGATGGGGGTGGGGTGGGAAAGAGCAGAAAGAAGGGACTCTGCCCAGCCCCCTCACCTAGTCAGATTTCTGTGTAAGTCTAGACCCAGAGCATCTCAGGGCCACCCTCCAAGTTCACAAGAGCTCAGCACTCAAGTGCAGCCCCAGCTCCAGACCAGAATCTGTCCGCCACACGCCTCTCGCTCAGATGTGCAAACCCAGCCCTGGCCACTCCCCCAAGGCATGTGTGGGGCTCCACGGCTTCCTTAGCATGTCCTCGGACAGGGCCTCATGGGGCCCAGCAGAAACCCCTGGGAGTAGACATCACCACCCCTGTTTCACAGGCTGGGAAATGGGGACTTGGTAAGCTGCAGTAGTACCTTCTCATACCGAAACTCTGAACTCCTTCCAACCCTTGGCTGTCAGGTGGTCTACAACTATGTCCTGCCCCCGAATCACATGGACATCAATGAAGGTCAATACCTTTTCTGGGGGAACTAGTCTAGCCCTGTGCCAAAGAGGAGAGAGAACCTGTGGCGGATTTAGCACTTCCAAGCCAGCTTCTGAGATCTGATTGCACCCAAGACCCCCCTGAATCATTCAAAGGTTAAACCTGGAACCAAGCAGAGGGTGAGTCTGTGACAGCCCCCATCATACTTTGGAACAGAACTCCCTCAGCTGCTCTTACGTGAACTAAGATGAGAGCCAAGCCCTATGCTGAACGGGAAGGGCTGCCAGCAGTTTCCAAAACATCGTGCTTTTCAAGAGGTGACTCTGAAATGTGATGTCTCTGTGAGTCTTTATTCGACTGTAAAGAGTATATACCTACACTCAAGGTGCATGAATCTAAACCCCACTATGTACACCACAAGGCGTTTCATGGCTTAAGGATGACTGAGTACCTAACTTGCTGAAGACTTGTTAAAGAGGGGTCCTAGCTCCTGGAAAACCCTGAGTACTAACCTCCTACAAGAAGTTAAGAAAAATACCAGCCTGGGCATCATGGCAAGACTCTTAACTAAAAAAAAAAAAGAAAATTAGCCGGGTATGGTGGTCCACACCTATAGTTCCAGTTACTCAGGAGGCTGAGGCAGGAGGACTACCTGAGCCCAGGAGGTCGAGGCTGCTCCAGACTGAGCAACAGAGTGAGACCCCTACTCATAAAAAAGAAGAAAAGAAAAGAAAGAAAAATATCTGTCTACATGTAGACACCAGTCTTGCTAATCTGTGTCGCAAACTCACTCTCTCTCGGTATTCTGCCAAAAGGTGGCCCACTCACACCCTTGGAAGCCTTCCCCAGTCAAGTTGTTCTTTGCGGACCCTTTACTAATGGCAACAAAATCCAAGTCCTCTGTGCGTAGAGCTCTCACAAGACAGACACACAAGGTGCTTCCTTTCTCCTGTTTTCCAGGGTGAAAAACCCAGGCAGCAAAATCTCCTGCCCCACCTCTGCCCAGCCCCACGCCTCCCTTACCTGTGTCCCTGTTGGCAGGTACTTATCACAGCCCTCTGTTCCCAAAGGCGCCAAGAGAAAAGAAGCGAAGGAGGCAAGGCCCAGGCAGAATCTGTGGTGAAGGTTAAACCAGAAGGCAAACCTGCAAAGACCGCTTTGTCCCAGGCTGCCACAAAGTGCTTCCTCCTACAAGGCCCGGAGTCGGGCTGACCGCGTGACAAAGTGGCCCCCTAGGCTGGATGAGGTCACCAGCCTCCCTGGCCATCACTCTATCTTCTGGTAAAGTGACAGCTGCGGACCAAGCGCTTGGAGGTTACCCCAGCAGCCTTGGGCTCCATGAGGTCATGAGTAAGAAGTGAAGAGGAGTGATCCTCAGGGAAAGAACCAGATAGATAAGCTGCCCAGAGGGTCTCTCTCGCTCCACATGTTTTTGAAAATATTAATGTTCATGTCTTTTGCTAAGGAGGTTTTTGTTTAACATTTGAAACAAATGTAGCTACAGCAATTTTGCAGCCATGTGGCCATGTCTCAAGAGAGAACACTGACTCCCGTCAGTCATGAGATTTTGCTTCATGAGATAAAACAGAATCCTGGAGACACTTCCCAATGGGCTACACACAGGGTGGGGGACAAAGACTGGACAGCAGGAAAGCAAAGATACCTTTTCTTGGGAGAAACCAGATTAGCCTATGCACAGCACAGGGGCTCCACACCAAACTATCTGGGTCAAAGTTCAGGCTCCACCACTATTATACCTGCAGCCTTGGGAAAGGCCTCCACCC